ATTTGCTTTAATTCCACATAACTGAGTAAGAGTTAAATCCAGAGTCACGAATCTAAATTTTTGGAGTAATCATTATTGTCCATGTCACTTCTTAGCAAATACTTCAGAGAACATAACTTTGTGAAAGCAAAGTTAACCATCTCTTGAGAATTTTGTGACATCCATTGACTACAGCTTTCATAGGACTGGACTTTTCTGAAGTTAAGTGCCGTGGATACCCTATTATCCAACACAATTTGGAGTAATAGTTGTTTAGTTAATTGAAAAAAATGAGGAATTAAAAAAGCTATTTCTGTATACTATAATTTTATTCTATCTAACTTAAGAAGAAATATGCATTTAATTCACACATCTTTTATAAGACCCATCTTTTTTTTTTTTTTAACATGGGTTCACTGATATAAGCGTCATTCTCACAAAAACAATACACATATACACTATGATATCTAGTTTGATTTTAATTTTTTTTGAGGCAGGGTCTTGTTCTGTTCCCAAAGCTGGAATGCAATGGCGCTCACTGGCTCATTGCAACCTCAAACCCCTAGGCTCAAATGATCTTCCCACCTCAGCCACCCAATTAGCAGAGACTACATGGTGCACACCACCATGCCCAGCTAAATTTTTTTGTAGAGATGGGGTTTTGCTTTGTTGCTTAGGCTGGTCTCAAACTCCTTGGTTCAAGTGCTCCTCTCATCTCAGCCTCCTAGAGTGCTGGGATAACAGGTGTGAGCCACTGCACCTGGCCACAATAGCAATTTTTAAAGTGCCTTTCCCTTATTTAATCCTTATTTAATCCTTCCAAAGCACTCACCCGAGTTTTCACTGGAACAATAACTTTTCTCTTTCATATTTTATGTATCACTGACTTATATTCATTGTCATCAAAAAAATAAATTCAAATGGCATAAGCAGGTTTGGGAACAAACCCAAGTGACTCTTGAAAGGCATTTTAGACTTGCAGGTCCCTGTGGCATTACTTGTCTCTGCTTTTTTGTTGCCTCATACAAAAACAGGCCACTTAACCACATTTAGGCCACAGTTTGCCCCCTGATATAAGGCAAGCTAGAACAGGCAACATATGTACCAGTCTTACAGATACCTATTACATACTTATAGCAACTAACATTTACTTTTGAAAGCTTACAATGTGCCAGGTACTATGCTAAGTGCTTCATGTGCATTATATGATTCAATCTTCACAGCTATCCCATGCTATAATTTCTACTACTATTTCTTTTATAGATAAAGATATTGAAACTTGGAGAGATTAAGTAACTTCCCAACAATTAATAAGTGGTGGAATTTTCAAAATAAGTGGTGGAATCATAATCTAAATACAAAAAGACCAACTTCTTAATTACTAAATCATACCACTTCTGAAAAAACTTTTAGCTTTTTCAAGGACATACAGAACAATGATCTTAGGACACAGTGCCAATTTACTAAATATTCAGAGATATTAAAGGAAGATTTGACATCTTAACCAAATGAATGAATGTCTAATGGTATATTATCAGGCACTGATAAGAAAGGTATTCTGGAAGATATACCAGATTTTGAGTGTCACAAAGCTAAAGTTAGAAATGACGGGGCCAGGCACAGTGGCTCACACATGTAATACTAGCACTCTGGGAGGCTGAGGCGGGTGGATCACTTGAGGTCAGGAGTTTGAGACCAGCCTGGCCAACATGGTGAAACCCTGTCTCTACTAAAAAATACAAAAATTAGCCAAGGTTGGTGGTGTGTGCCTGTAATCCCAGCTACTTGGGAGGGTGAGACATGAGAATCGCTTGAACTCAGGGGGCTGAGGTTGCAGTGAGCCGAGATTACGCCACTGCACTCCAGCCTGGGCAAAAGAGCAAAACTTTGTCTTAGGAAAAAAAAAAAAAAGAATGACTGCTCTTTTTCAATGAGGCAGCATAAGAGAATTTTAATTACGGAACACAGAAGTGCAACAAATTATCTTAAAAATGTAACATTAAACTTCTTTCATAAAACATTAAAATAATAAATTACACTACAAAATGGGAAGTCAGCAGCCAGGTGCGGTGGCTCACGCCTGTAATGCCAGCACTTTGGGGGCCGAGGCAGGCAGATCACAAGGTCAGGAGATCAAGACCATCCTGGCAAACACAGTGAAACCCCGTCTCTACCAAAAAATACAAAAAATTAGCTGGGCGTGGTGGCGGGCGCCTGTAGTCCCAGGTACTTGGGAGGCTGAGGCAGGAGAATGGTGTAAACCCAGGAGGTGGAGCTTGCAGTGACCAGAGATCACGCCACTGCACTCCAGCCTGGGCAACAGAGCGAGACTCTATCTTAAAAAAAAAAAGGGAAATCAGCAATGCAGTGACTCAGGCAGATACTTAGAAGTAGACTGAAGGTGACAGGAATAAATACAAGCAGAAAGAAATGTACAATATCCAGATGGTATTCATATGGTAATTGAGAGCATCTGGGGCAGGAAGATAATGTTACAGAGGTCCACAACAAGGGGTAATGTGCAGTAGTATCCCAGGATACAATATTCAGAAAAGTAGTAACATAACTAACTAATGGAATCCATGAAGGCTAATCAGGTAGTAAGCCCATTCAGTGCTCAGTAACAACTGTAATTTAATTCTCACAATTACATTATGAGATGGAGACTGTTATAACCCCCATCTCTGATAAGGATGCTGAAACGCAGAATGAATGGTTAAATAACTTACCCAAATTCACACAGCTAATAATGGTGTTAAAACCCATGCAGATTGTCCCTACAGTCCACACACTCTTAACCACTCTGTTACAAATGATTTATTTGGCTTAGTTGTGCCACCACAAGCAAGTGACTGGCATCAGACTGTCTTTCAGCATACAAAGTGTTCCAGGGATTGGGCTGAGGATCATGGTAAAGAATGCACAGAGCAGCTGGAGAGACCACCTTGGAAGAACTGTTACCGAGGAAGTAACTTGACCATGAGAGAAAGATTAGCTTAATAGAAGACCATACCAATTTGGGCACATTAAACTAGCAAACTAAGGTTTTAAAAATGTTGATACCTAAACTGAATAAAATTCCAGTCATAAATCCTAGTCCTTTGTAAGTACTTGTATTGATCTTTTAATATATAAGTATGTATAATTAAAAAATTAAAGCAGCCATATTACGAAAGGATTTTTAGCCACACCACTAGAAGAATGCTGACAATGATCATCTAGAACAAGTAACTGAGAAAGTTCCAATGTTGGGCTTTAGATGAATATGTATTCTCTGAACTACTGACACAATATTCCTTAAACTGCATAATAAAATTAGTATGTACTATAAACGGAAAGATGTTTGAGTCTGGACTAGGAAGGTAACCTTATAATTTAGAATTTGCTATTCTAACTTACATAAGGGCAAGAAAAAAGTAGGAAAACTTATTGTCTTTCTAGTTAATATGAATTTTTTTTTTATTGCTAGGTGAACAAAATAAACCAGAAATTGAGCAAGAGCTGTCCTGGAATACAAACCTAATATTCTAGGTCCAGCTCCTAAAACACAGTCCTGTTAGTTCATTGTCAGGCAGTACACAGGGAGAGGCCAAATATAGGCACTGTTTGAGGACATATTGCAAATGGTCACAGGGTCCTGCCTTCCCTGTATGACGGCAATAGCTTTAGGGCTCTGTAACTTTGGTAGGATGCCCACATGGTCTCGTGAAAAACCTGGACACAAAATAAAATTAATTTTTAAAATAAAATTGTGTTGGTCAGAAAAAAAAATGAAAACAAGACGGAGAGACACACAACCACACCCACACCATGATTTAGGAAATATACCCATGAGATGGAAAATATAATGATCAATCTAGATTATATTCTGAATTTTGCAACATTTAATGCAGATTTCACAAGAATTAGGAAAATGCGTATATGTATATTTACAAAGTACATATTCCCATAGAGAAAAGTTAAATTTTGAATAGTAAATAGTCTAGTTCAGACTAGCAATCCTTGGGTTGTATTGCTGTCAACTGGCAAAACCAGTGTGATTTCTAAGAGTACAAATATTACCACTATTTGGCTTGCTGGATTACAGTAACCTAAACCCACTGCTAATTTCATTAAGGGCTGTGCACCCCTGAACCTAGAAGATTACCACTTGCCACTGCAAATACTCTGGTTCTTCCTCTTCAGAAGCACCAGAATAACTTCTTATCAACATTCTATTTGAAACACAAAGAGAAGGAGGAAGAACTGTCTGGGTTCGTAAGTTTTCTGGTTCAGATTCTAGTTTATAGTGAGACCCAGCTGTACTTCTTTCCCTTGAGTTCCAAAAGATAATATGTATTTCTTATTAAATTTTTTTCTGCTTTTAAGCAGATTTTAGTTACTTGCAATCAAAGAGCCTGACTAAAACAGGCAACCGGCTTTAATTTGAAATCTAAATGCCTGGAATGTTTAAGCAACCCAACTCTGAAGCAGAACAATGGTTTTTAAAAAGTGCATTGAAATATTAAACCTCCTAATCAATGCTATTCACGAGCATCATCTATTTTGAAACACGGAATCTGAGCCAAAATGCATTCAGAGAAAATACATGTCATTCATGTAGAAATAATACTTCTCAATACTATAATGCCTATAAAATTAAAAACTGCATTTAACTACATTTTCTGTGACAGTGGCTTTCAAATCTATTTTAGGCAGCAGAACATTTTCTTCTAATAAAATCTTAGGTTCATGCCCAAACATAGATGAGATCTGCTCTGGCAGAAACATATACATGCACATGTCTGGGTGGGCCCATGTGTGCATGTGTGAAAACCTGCAGAAAACCTTGCCTGATGGTCAACCTCTTCCCCTGTTCGACTCCCCACTGAGGAATCACAGTGGAACCCCTTTGGCCTTCATGGAACCCCTGTGGCCTGTGTGAAAATCAAAGCTTGAAAACCAGCGAGCTGGAAAGAGACAGCTGCCCTTCCACACTCTACAGTCACAACCAAGACAGCAAATTAGTCGTGTCTATTTACCTGTGAGCTTTAAAACGTTTTCCATCAACAAAAATATCAATATCTGGGCAACAAGGTTTCACATAAAGCTTCAATAAATCTTCTCCTAATTCAGATGCAGGCTCCAAGTCATAATTATCTTTAAAAAAGAAAAACAAGACTAAAAAATAGTTTAATATTACAAACATCCAAAAATTGTTTTCTATTATTATCAAGAGGTTTCCCACACAATTATCTCAATTAGTTGGAATATGTAAGTAGTAAATTAAAAATAAAACAAAAAGGTTAAATCATCTAGACTTTCTCCTTTGAAATATATTTCTACTTAATGTAAATATAGATAGAGTCATGCATTGCTTAATAACAGTCACGCATCCCTTAATGACAGTTCAGAGAAATACGCTGTTAGCTGATTTCATTCCTGTGTGAACATCAGAGTGTACTTACACAAACCTAGACGATATAGCCTATTACACACATAGGCCATATGATATAGCCCACTGCTCCTAGGCTATAAACCTGCACTGCATGTTACTGCAATGAATAGTGTTGGCAACTGTAACACAATAGTAAGTAGTTGTGTATGTAAGCATAGAAAAGGTACAGTAAAAATCCGGTATCATAATCTTATAAAACCTTTGTCATATATGTGGTCCATTGTTGACCAAAAATGTCATTATGCAGCACATGACTATATACTTTTAAATATACATATTTAAATATAGGTAGTATTATCACAAAATTATACACCAAAAATGAAGCCTCTTCATGAACATCTTTTTCTAATTTTTAATTAGAATTAATTACTTCTTAATTAGAATTTAGAAAAATTTCTAATCTCTATGTTTCTTCTTGTGGGTCTCTAGGTTACTATGACCTGTGTTATCAGGCTAACAACAATACTGGAATATCTTTAAAAAATTTTATTTTATTTTTTAGAGACAGAGTCTTGCTCTGTCACTCAGGCTGGAGTGCAGTGGCATGAACATAGCTTACTATAGCTTCAAAATCCTGGGCTCAAGCAATTCAATCCTCCCACCCTAGCCTCACAAGTAGCTGGGACTACAGGTATACGCCACCATACTCAGCTAATTTTATGTTTTATAGATACAGAGTCTCCTTATGTTGCCCAGGCTGGTCACAAACTTGGATACCTTTTGAAATCAGATCATTCTACAGTAAACTACGGTCCTTAATCACCATCATTCCCTGAACAGACTATGACCAATTTGACTCAAATATTATTGAACTCTCTATCTTGCCTAAATTTTTATTTGATTAATTTTGATCAGTTTGGTTTGTAGGGGCCCCTATAAAGTAGCACACTTTTTTTTTTTTTTTTTTGAGACGGGGTCTTGCTCTGTCACCCAGGCTGGAGTGCAGTGGCGCGATCTTAGCTCACTGAAAGCTTTGCCTCCTGGGTTCACGCCATTCTCCTGCCTCAGCCTCCCGAGTAGCTGGGACTACAGGCGCCCGCCACCACGCCAGGCTAATTTTTTTTTTGTATTTTTAGTAGAGATGGGGTTTCACCGTGTTAGCCAGGATGGTCTCAATCTCCTGACCTCGCGATCCACCCGCCTCGGCCTCCCAAAGTGCTGGGATCAAAGGCGTGAGCCACCGCGCCTGGCAGTACACTTTTGTCTTTTGGTATTAGCCTCCTGATAGTCATAATAGTAGCATCCCTGGCATACCATATCCTCTCAGGAGTCTTAAATATTTGTATGCTGCCATCCATCGTGCATTAAATGGTCTTAACTTTGACTAAAACAGCAAGAATGTAAGGAATCATTTAACTGACCTGACATGGAGACCAGTAGGTTCTACTCTGAGACCAAAAGAGTCCATTATGATGGTATCAAGAGACTGGCATCAATGCCCAAGGTTTTGGTCGATCTCACAATCAAGAGACTAATCCAAAGGCAGAAATTGTTAACTTAAATTTGAACTAAGGCTGCCTCCATACTTTGAGTTCCTACTTAAGGAACTGCAACCTTAGTATGTAAACAAACTAAAACCTAACCTAACTTAGGAGTGTTTATTTTTGGTAATAGATAGCTAGATCTCAGCCAATTATAAGAAGCCGAGCTTTGCCCAATCACAAGCAGCCAACTGATCTGGCCATGTCCAAATAAGGCGAACACTTAGCTATAACCAATCAAGTCATTTCTGTACTTTACTTCCATGTTCTGTTTATACATACTCACTGGCCAGTTGTAGAGCAGAGTTCTCTGAACCTCTTCTGGTTCTGAGTGCTGCATGATTCATGAATTGTTCTTTGTTCAAATAAACTCAGGTTTATTTTATCTAACGTTTTTCTTTTAACAACTGTTTATCGTAACTTTGCTTGTCAACAAACTTTGGCCAATAGATCTGGTGAAGATCAGTCACTGGTGACAGAGTCCCACAAGTTGAATTTGGGACAGGTTACATTTGAGATATTTAAGATATATTTTGGCTGGGCACAGTGGCTCATGCCTATAATCCCAGCACTTTAGGAGGCTGAGGTGGGTGGATTGCCTGAGCTCAGGAGTTCAAGACCAGCCTGGGCAGTGCAGGGAAACCTCATCTCTACCAAAAATACAAAATATTAGCCAGATGTGGTGGTCACCCCTGTGGGCCCAGTTACTCAAGAGGCTGAGGTGGGAGGATCACTTGGGCCTGGGAGGTAGAGGTTGCAGTGAGCTGAGATCATGACGCTGTACTCTTGCTTGGGTGACAGAGTGAGACCCCATCTCATTAAAAACAATAAAGATTTAAAAAATAAAAAAATAAGGTAGACTTTAACAGATATGTTTAGTCAGTGATTGGATATGAAGCTCAAAAAAATTACAGAATACCATTTATTTAAGGGGCAGAAAGATGATAGATCAGTAAAAAAGACTGAGAATTGGCCAAGAAAGAAAATCAGGAAAGCATGGTGTCACAGAAAACAGAAGTTTCAAGGAGGGCAGCATTAACAGTATGAAAGGCTGCAAAAAGGTTTATAAGATGTAGACAAAAAAAATGTCTGCTAAGCTGGCAACTAGGAGGTTACTGGTGAACGTGGGGATTTTCCATGGAGTGATGGAGAAAAGAGTCAAAAGGCAGAGGTTCTTTTCACTTAAACTCACAACTTATTTGGCCACTTTAAAGGGTTGCCATAGAGCCACAGCAGAGCTCTAGACTAGAGTAAGAAAACTGGATTTCAAATATCAGCTCTGTCAATTGCTGTGTGTGACCTCAGGAAAGTCTCTTATGCTCTCTGAGTCTTAGAGTCCTATCTGGGTCTTATTGATAAAATCAGTCTGTAACACTTCCTAGGGTTTTATGAGATGAAATTAAATAAAGCATATGAATGATCTACCTCAAGGCCTAGAATGTCTATTCATTCACTCATAAATAGATATGTTTACTGTAATATAACAGGAATCTAACCAGGATAAATCAGATGAGTAATTGTTGCTTTACACACCAATAATAAGATCCTTTAGCCCAACAAATGTTTTCAAATACAATCAATTCTGCTCTAACACTTGTTTTGAAAAAATGAGTTTGATCCAATACAATTCATGTATTAGGGAACATTTTGAGCATAACATAAATTTTGCATTTGCTTAGGTGCAAAATTCAGATGAGAAACACTAAGTTAATGCAGAAAGCTGCACTCAGTTGAACTGAGCCATGCACACACACACGCACACCTAAATACCAGATACCTCAGTTTACTGCATGTGTTATAAGACACACCCATCTATATCTGGTTTTATAAATTCCCATCTGACTTCAGATAACCAACTATTGGGAGACACTTTTCTATGAATATTTTTATGTTTCAGCATGGTCTGATCTGTCTGAGCAGAGCACCAGTAAACTTGGTTAAAGGATGATTAAACAGCAAACATGCCTTGGAAACTAGAGATACGTATTACTTCAGAAACATTGAGAAACCTTCCTCCTCTGGAAGTCATTTCCTTATATTACAGGGTAAGGAAACTACCTTCTCTTCCCCTCCCAAAGATTTACCTTCCAAAGAAAGGTCTTTCTGTCTCTAGAGAAGAGAATGGGAAGATCTGCCAGCAACCTGTGAAAGCTTAAAGTTTCCTAATTTTGGTGTTCCTCTTCTGTGGTGCAATCCCACTGCATGGGCTGGGTAACATCAGGCCCTCACTGCAGTGCCTCACAGAGTTTAGGAGCTGAGAACTGGCACTAAGATGCTCTGCAAGTGATAAATGGTCTGTTCTCTGATCCAGGGACCTCAGGTTTTCTGTCAGAACCTCTCTCTATGCATGCATCCCTCCTTAATATTCTCTTTCCATCAATCTCCAATAACTCACAAGCTGCAACCCTTCTGAAATCCACTTCGACAAGCAAACTTCAGGCCTTTTTCATGGTAAAATGCCATATGTATTATAGTATTTATGTATTTCTTAACCATTTAATATTCATAAAACTAGGCTACCATTTTTATTAGGGTATTAAACAGAACTGACTCTGCTAAAGCTTCATTATTGCCATAGATTATAATAAGGACAATAACACAGAGGCGTAGTGGCTAAAAGGAGAATTGTGAGTTACGTATGGATTTATTCATAATAAGCCTATCTCCAATTACTTGGGAAAAACTGAGAGTTAACGATACTAGTGTTTTCAGTTCTCCATGCTTATTAAAAAAAAAAAAATCAGTAAAGTATATCTTTGAAGTATGCTTTTCTCTAACTGTATGAGAATATAATTATTTTCACAGCTATAAATAAAACTCCATAAAAAATACCTCACCATTGGAAATGAAATCGTCATCTCTGTCACTGATATCCTCTGGAATTTCATGCTTCTGAAGAGAAAAATCAGATGAGTTTTTACACTGTGGAAAACTGATGTCAAGTTGCTTTTGTGATATCCCAGTCTCCACTATCTTTTTCCTAAGAATTTCCTCTTCATAGTTTTTTATGTTTCTGTTTGATGAATATATAATCCTAAAAGACAAAATATAAAATATTAATTAAATAACATTGGTGATTCTTAAAAAGAAAGAATGCTAGTTTCCTTAGTGTGCCACTTTCATATATAATATTAAACCTTCTTAATTTGGACTAACTGAAGAAAGGTCCATCTAAAACAGCAGAAGCCAGCTGGGCACGGTGGCTCATGCCTGTAATCCCAGCACTTTGGGAGTCCAAGGTGGGCAGACCACTTGAGGTCAGGAGTTCGAGACCAGCCTGGCTAATGTGGCAAAACCCCATTTCTACTAAAAAAAATACAAAAATTAGCTGAGCATGGTGGCAGGTGCCTGTAAGCTACTTGGGAGGCTAAGACATGAGAATCACTTGAACCCAGGAGGCAGAGGTTGCAGAGAGCTGAGATTGTGCCACTGCACTCCAGCCTGAGTGACAGAGCAAGACTCCATCTCAAAAAAAAAAATAATAATAAATAAATAAAATAAAATAGCAGAAGCCGGGTGTGATGGCTCATGCCTGTAATCCTAACATTTTGGGAGGCCAAGGCAGGAGGATTGCTTGAGCTCAGGAGTTCAAGAGTAGCCTGGGCAATAGAGTGAGACCTCATCTTTACAAAAAATTAAAAAACTTAGAAGGGTGTGGTGGCGTGCACCTGTAGTCTCCGCTACTTGGGTGGCTGAGGTAGGAGGATTATTTAAGCTCTGCAGGTCAAGCTGCAGTGAGCTGTGATCATGCCACTGCACTCCAGTCGGGGCAACAGAGTGAAACCCTGTCTCAAAAATAAGTAAATAAAAATAAAAAATAAACAGCAGAAACTTTGAAAAGTAGTCTATAAAAATGTTAAATGTTAAAAAGTAATATACAATGCCAAAAAATTGAACTCGTGGCTGCCGTTGGCTGCCCACATTGACTGCCACCTCATCCCTGGAACCTATGATGCCTCTGTTTCCCCTTGGGGGAGGTTCCCCGGGTCCTGTTGGGGCAGTGAGCACTGTGTCTGTGGGAGCTGTCATGGATATTTCAGGAGCTGTCTTCTTCCGTGCGAATTCTGTCATGCTTCAGTAAAATTATTCCAGAGATTTGCTTGGAAGGCATTGCTTTTACCAAGATGGCATAAATGGCTAAGGTTCAGCAACCATCAATGGTCAAGTATCCATGCACGTGGCCTGAGTTGATCCCTGTGCCCTTCAGAGCTTGGGATATGAGACTGAAAATGACAACGCAGAATATTCCTGACAGAGAACTATCCTGCGATGTAGAAACAACTCAGGATTAGAAAACTAAACATCGTATGTTCTCACTCATAAATGGGAGCTAAGCTATGAGGATGCAAAAGCATAAGAATGATACAATGGACATTGGGGATTGGTGGGGGAAAGGGTGGAAGGAGGGTGAGGAATAAAAGACTACAAATTGGGTACAGTGTATACTGCTTGGGTGATAGGTCCACCCAAATCTCAGAAATTACCACTAAAGAACTCATTAATGTAACCAACCACCACCTGTTCCCCCACAAACCTATGGAAATAAATAAAAACAAAAAATAATGCCAGCCAGGCACGGTGGCTCACGCCTGTAATCCCAGTACTTTGGGAGGCCGAGGTGAGCGAATCACGAGGTGAGGAGTTTGAGACCAGTCTGACCAACATGGTGAAACCCCGTTTCTACTAAAAATACAAAAAATTAGCCGGGCGTGGGTTGCCTGTAATCCCAGCTACTTGGGAAGCTGAGTCAGGAGAATCACTTGAACCCAGGAGGCAGAGCTTGCAGTGAGCCGAGATCATGCCACTGTACTCCAGCCCAGGTGACAGTGTGAGACTCCGTCTCAAAAATAATAATAATAATAATGCCAAAGAAAGTAGATAATCTAGATGAAATGGACAATTCCAAGAAAGACACAAACTACCAAACCTGACTCAAGAAGAAACGATATCTGAGTAGACCTATTAACAAGTAAAGGGATTGAATTAGTAATCAAAATCTTCCCGCAAAGAAAAAAAACAGAACCAGATAGCTTGACTGGTAGATTCTACCAAATGTTTAATAATTAACACCAATCCTTCACACATTTTTCCAAAAACACAGGAGAGGAAGGAACACTTCCCAACTCATTCTATGAGGCCAGTATTACTAATACAAAGGTGGACAAAGGCACCACGAGGAAAGAAAAACATAGTCCAACATTCCTTATTAGTGTAAATAAAAAAAACCCTCAACAAAATAATTTTTTTTTTTTTTTTTTTTTTTTTTTTTGAGACGGAGTCTCGCTCTGTCGCCCAGGCTGGAGTGCCCGGGAGGCGGAACAAAATAATTTTAAACTGAATCCAGCAGCATATAAAAAGGATTATATACCATGACAAAAAGATTTATCTCAGGAATTCAGAAAATTAATGTTATACACCATACCAGCAAAATAAAGGACAAAAACCACATGATCACTTCAACCAAAGCAGAAAAATCATTTGACAAAGTCCAACACGCTGTCATGATAAAACATTCAACAAACTAGGAATAAAAGAGAATGTCCTCAACTTGATAAAGGACATCCATGAAAAACCCACAGTTGACATCATACTTTAATGGTAACTGAAAGCTTTCTTCCTAAGCTCAGCAAGGATGTCTGTTCTTAACATTTCTTTCAACATTTTATAGGAGGTTTTAGCCAGGGCAATTAGGCAAGAAAAATAAATAAAAGGTATCTACATGGTAAAGAAATAAGTAAAGCTATCTTTATTTATGGATGACAAATTTGTATATACAAAATCCTTGGAAATCCACAAAAAAACCACTAAACAAGTTTAGCAAGGTTGCAGGATACAGAATCAACATGTAAAAATCAATTATGTTTTTATATACTAGCAATGAACAATCAAAAATGAAATTAGAAAATAATTCCATTTACAATAATATTCTAAAAAATAAAATAGCAGGAATATATTTAACAAAAGAAGTATAAGACATTCATTGAAAGCTACAAAACAATGTCAAAAGCAACTAAATAAACGGAAACACATTTCGTGTTCATGGATTAGACGACTTAATATCGTTAAGACAGTAGTACTTTCTGAATTGACCTACAGATTAAATGCAATCCCTATTAAAATTCTAGTTGACTTTTTTCTGGGTTTTTTTTTTTTTTTTTTTTTTGCAGAAATTGACAAGCCAATCCTCAAATTCAAATGGAAATACAAGGGGCCCAGAATAGCCAAAACAATCTTGCAAAGAACAAAGTTGGTGGATTCACACTTCTCAATTTTCTAAGCTTCCTACAAAGCTACAGTAATCAAGACTGTGTGGTACTAGCATAAGAATGGTGGACATGTAGATCAGTAGAATAGAACTGAGTCTAGAACACATATTTATGGGCAACTAATTTTTGACAAGAGTGTCCAGACAATAATACAATGGGGAAACAACAATCTCCCCCATAAATGGTGCTGAGACAACAGAACATCCAAATGCAAAAGAATGAAGTTAGACCCTAACCTCATACCACATACAAAAATTAACTCAGAATAGATCAAAGACCTAAATGGAAAAGCTAAAAGTACAAAACTGTTATAAGTAAATACAGGCATAAATCTTCATGACCTTGGTGTCTTAGATACGATACCAAAAGCATAGTGACAAAAGAAAAGATAAAGTGGAAATCACACAAATTAAAGATGTTTGATTTCCAGAATACCCTAAAAGAGAACCCACAGAATGAGAGAAAACTTCTGCAAATCATGTCTGATAAGAGTCTAGTATTCCAGTATATACACAGAACTCTTAAAGCACAATAAAGAGAACCCAATTTTAAAATGGGCAAAGGATGTGATTAGTTTTCTAAAGAAAATATAAAAATAACTGATAAGTATACAAAAATTGCTCAAGATCATTAGCTATCATGGGAATGCAAATGATTAGCTATCATGGGAATGCAAATGAAAACAATAAGATGCCAGTTTACATCCACTAGGATAGGTACAGTTTTTTTTAAAAAAAGAGGTAACATGTTGAGAATATGGAGAAATTGGAAATTTTGTACATGCTGGTGGTAATGTAAAATGGTACTGTCATTTTGGAAAAGAGTCTGTCAGTTCCTGAAAAGGTTACTATATGACCCAGTAATTACACTCCTAGGTATATAAGAGACTTGAAAATGTATGTTCACACACAAAATTTATACATAAATGTTCATAGAGGATTTATTCATAACAGCCAAAAAGTTGAAATAACCCAAAAGCCTATCATCTGATAACTGGGTAAACAAAATATAGTATATTCATATGTAGGGGAAAATAGGTAACATAGCAGGCCTGACTGCTATACCTTGAAAGATTTAGTTATAAGCTTGGCCCTTGGCTGATATCTGGAAACATGGATTTGGGCAGTATTCTTAGCATTCTCTAAATGTAAAGGTGGCTCACTCTGTCTAAACCGTTTATGCAAGCAATAGTTTATGCTGAACACAGACTTTCCTCCTGGGAGTCTGGAATTGGGGTACACATTGGGTGGGAGTGCCTACGTTACCAGTTCCCAATAAAGAACCCTGGGCATTGAGCTTCTAATGAGTGTCTCTTGTTGGTAACATTTCAGAAGCACTGTCACAACTCATTGCTGGGGAAATTAGGCATGTCCTCTGTGATCCCACTGGGAGAAGACTCTTAGAAACTTATGCCTTGATTTTCATGAACTTTGCCCCACGCAGCTTTTCCCTTTGCTTCCTTTCTCTGTAGTAAATCATAGCCTTTAGCATGACTATACACTGAGTACTGAGTCCTCTCAGCAAATCATCAAACCTGAGGATGATCCTATGACCCCTGATTTATCATATAATAAAATGTTCAGCCATAAAGGGAATAAAGTATTGATACATGCCACAACATAGATGAACTGTGAAAATATCATGTTGAGTTTAGAAAGCCAGACGTAAAAGGCCATATATTGTATAATTCCATTTATATGAAATAACCAGAATAGGCAAATCCTTAAAGACAGAAAGTAGGTTGTTCGCCAGGGGCTGGGTGAAGGAG